CCTTTGGTGGGAAGGTAACAGCGTTCTGTGCGCCTTCGGCATTGAGTCATGTCAGCCACATGACCATGGAGACATCTTCGGACAGGGTTGGCTCTTCGGCTTTGAAATAGAGATGAGCGCCACCCCCTAGAGTCAGGAACAACTAGCACATATGTGCGAGGGGAACCTTTACCTTTTCACTCCAATGAACATCGAGTGTGAGACAGGACAGCAAAGAAAGCAGGATGTACACACTGAAAAAATGAGGGGGCGGGGGAATTAAACATTTATTTTATTTAAATGTCATTTAAAGTCAGAGAATTTTTCTAGCTTCTCAAACACTTTTCTGTGTTTGAGAAGCTAGGAGAGTACATTTAACAGTGCATGGGAGGTTACATTTTTAAAGTAATGTCTATTTTGAAGCAATCCTTTTCGGGGGGGGAAAAACCTGCCGGAACTGTCCTCTTGTTTTCATGCTCTTTTATTCCAAAGCTTGTTTTATTGCCTTTTTGGGTGTGGAGGAAAATAGGATTATCTGATCATTTGCATTCCTTTAACACTGTAAGTTTCTCTGGAAATCAAGATCATTTGACTTTCTGCTTCTTTGGCCAAGGATAAAGCTTTGTTGCTGAAAAGCAACCAAGATTATATGAGCTCTGAAGTTTAAATCGAATGATAAATAGTTGAGGGAGCCAGGTGTGCCTAGCCTATTGAAGAGAAAGATTAGGGGCGACAGGATAACCGTTTTCCAGTGCTTGAGGGGCTGTCACAGAGAAGAGGGAGGTCACCCAGTGGTGGATTGCAGGCGGTACGCCCCGGTATGGGCGTACCGGAACCTGCCCAGAGCACTGAGTACCATTCCGGTACAGTGCTCCGGAGGGCCCGCCTGCCCGCCCACGCTCCTTACCTGTCTTTAAAGCCTTCAGTGTTTCCACACACATGCATGGTGCGAACAGCGCCTGTGTGACACTCCGCCAAGCAGCTGGAGCGTCGCAGAGGCTTGCGGAGGCGTCGCTGGCTGGTATGACACATGCACATCCATGTGGGCGATGCCAGGCCCGTTCCAACTGTACCGGTTGGAACGGGATCCAGAACCCACCACCGAGGTCACCTATTCTCCAAAGCACCAGTGGGCAGGACAAGAAGTAACAGGTAGAAGCTTATTAAAGAAAGATCCATCCTGGGACAAAGGAGAAAATTCCTGACAGTCAGAACAATTAATCAGTGGAACGGGTTGCCTCCAGAAGCTGTGGGTGCTGCTCCATCACTGGAGGTCTTCAAAAATAGAAAGAACAACCATTTCACCAGGACGGTATAAGGTCTGCTGCCTTGAGCAGGGCGTTGGATTAGAACAGGAGAGTCAAACTCAAGGCCCAGGGGCCGGATCCAGCCCAGGGGTGCTTAGATCTTGCCTGAGGGGACACCCTGGAAACAGCAAAGGACCAGCCTGCAGGGCCTCTGCCAGTGAAAACGGAGCCCTCCCAAGCTCCGTTTTTGCTGACAGATGATTGCAGGAGGGCGTCGCAGCCAAAACCAAGCTTAGGACCTATCAGGCCATCACAGGCACCCACGACATGAGTGATGTTGAGTTAGTCATGCCCACCCTGGCCCCTCAAGGTCAAACACAACCTTGATGCGGCCCTCAATGAAATCGAGTTTGATACCCCTGGATTAGAAGATATTTGAGGTCCCTTCCAGCCCTATGATTCTATGTTCTAATTTTCCTTTTCTTGTCTTCCTGTTTTCCAGTTTGGGATGAGCGCGCTTCTTCTGTCTGCTTGGTTCGGTCATTTACGTGTCCTTCAGATTCTGGTCAATGCCGGTGCTAAAACCAACTCTGTAAATAAGGTAGGGTAGGTTTTTTTTCTGGCTCGGGGGCCTCCTCTTGAGGACACACCTGGGCTCCATAGGAAGAAGTGAATGCAAGAATATGGATATCCAAAGGAGGCAATCCGACATTGGGATGCAAATTCCATTCTTGGCACACTTCCATGCAACATGACCAGAGGTGGGTTTCTTCCAGTTCAGCCCGATCGGGCAAATTGGTAGTAGTGGCGGCGGGAGGTTCCGCCCAACCACCCGGACACTTCTGTGCATGCGCCCGAGTGAACCGGTAGTAAAAAACTGGAAACTCACCCCTGAACATGACTATGACATTATGAGAGGGTGAAACAAGTATTGTATGGACACAATGATATATATAGCTTGAAATAGATCTATACTAGTCTCCCTTTATTTATTTATCAGCACAAATAAAAACACAGAAACACACACACATGTATGTATGTATGTATGTATGTATGTATATGTATATGTATATGTATATGTATATGTATATGTATATG